GGTCACCGTGCGGCTGGACAGGCCCAGAGCGCGCGAATCTCTCCTTGCAGTCCCTTCATTTTTAATTTTAACAGCGTTTAATCCATAGTTAAGGCTCTCTCGGGAGGCGGGAGCAGCCGCTGTCCCTGGGGATCTCGGTGACTGCTGCCTCGGGTCAGTTACCCGCGCTGGGAAGCGTCTTGTTGATTATAGCTCCATGGATAAGTCTATTTGTATGGGCTCCTATTTTATATTCTCCTGTTTTAAATCTGTTTTCGTCCTCAAGGTAGCGAGCTAGTGCAAATTTCCCTGTAAGTGCTGTGGACCTAAGCAATAAACAGCAAGTGAACCGTGACCCAATAAAAGGCTTTAGCTACTGCCTCGAGCGAAATAAGGTTAAGCAGAGCTGTTAAATTAAATACACATGAGCTTATACACCTTATTTTCGTAGCAGTGTTATATCAGCTTTTAAGGGCAGCACTTTGAAAGTCGAGATATAGACTAAGCTCCTCCTTATTTAAGTTATTATTTTCTTTTTAACAGTTAAAGCTGCTAATTTCAGCTCCTCCATTTGGTGTAATAGAAGCATACTTAGAGAATGCATATTTCTGAACCACTTTTCTGTGTGTGTATACAGTGCTTTTACTGCTTCAAAAATTTGATACTTAAGTAGAATTAGTAGTAAAAATGTTAGGAGTACATGTGTTTAGATGTACCCTCACAATACTTTGGTGTAGTCAAACGTTACATATGGTTAGGTGGGAGTTTTGGTTTTATTTGCAAAATAGCCATCTGAGTTCTTGTTTAGTTTTGCCCCTCCCCCCCACTTTTTTCTCCAGTTTTGATGGGATGTAATTGGTCGTAATAGATATTATTGGTTACCAGATATTATTGGTCATAATATCTGTATACTTAAACTGTTTTTGTTTGTTTGTTTTTTCCTCTCCTTGCTCCATAGAAGTTCAAACATGGCATCTGTGGAAGAAAGCTTTCCCCGAGGTGGCACCCAGAAAAAAGCCACAGAGGAAAAAGCAGCCAAACCAAAGATTGAGCAGGACAACTTGTTTGATGTATGTTGTTTATATGTACTTAATGAACTCTTATTAGAACTCTCTAAAATGTGCCCTGAAATCCTTCCTACTGACTTCTCTATACTTATCTCATATAGTTTGTGTTATTTGGACTTTGGGAATGTCTGCTGCCATTCACTTATCTTGTGACTCTTTAAAGATCTTGAATATATGACTTAGGGTGAAGGTAGTGCTAAAAAGTTCGAGCAAAATTGCCAATCAGGCATCAACACTGTAATATTCCACAAGCTCTGGATCCTGAGTTACTTGCTGCTATATTGCAGGGTTGGACCCATCTGTACAGTGATGCCGCAATGAGTTGCATGTTGAGGAATTGTGTTCCTCCCCCGCCCCCTCCAAGTTTTAAACAATGCCAGCACTTTTTCTCTATTTTTATTCCTAGCAGTGGAATTCTTCAGTAGTATTCTGTTCACCTCTTCTATTATTTTTCTATCTGACTTTAATCTGATTTAGATCCATCATGAAGAAAAAACACACAAAAGAAAAAGAAGTCAAGTTGATCAAGGAAAGCAGAAGAAAAAGAAGCTCAAGCTGGACAAAAAAGACACTTCTAAAGACAAAGTGAATCGCTCACAGTTGAGGTTTGTGGATAAATGTTTGGTTTTGTGTGTTTCTGTCATTCTCAAGATGATGAGCTAGGATCTACACAAGGTTTAAAGAAGGGAGTAGATATTTCTTTTTTTAATAGCAACCTTGATAGTTACTTAATGGTAAGAGATAATAGTTTTTGTGTTTTCAGGTTCTAGGCTAGTGTACTAGAGCAAGAGTGAGATGTATATCATGGGCATGTTGTAAGGTATCATTTGGAGTTTCTGGGGATTCTAAAATCTTTCATGGGACCAAAAGCTTCTGCTTAATCCTGAGTTGGATTCTAGTGTCATGTATGTCTGTGTGGGAATGCCACATCCAGTTTGGAAATAAGATTTTATTTCAGAAGTGTTCCATGACTTCTATGAATCAAATGCTGTGGACTGAGAACAATGCGTGGTTGCTACACCTGTAGCTGTTTCTCCTGAACACAGTGAGCCCTCCAGTCATTGTTGTTCCTGTGGCAAGACAGAGATCTTTTCCAGCCTCTTCCTAAACACTGTCAGGCTGTTTTCTGGCTTTCTTCGCCGTATTTATAGATTTTTCTAGAACAAGGCCTCTTCTGTTGAGTCCTGTTACTTCCAGTTAATATGTGCTTATGTAACTGGTGGGTTTGGTTTGATTATGGTGTGAGTTAACATGGTAAATGCTGATGAGCTCCTTTTTGGTTTTGGTGTGATGTCAAAAATGGAACATGGGGCTGTTGGGAGACATGAGTCTGTTCTAGCCCTGCTGGATACATTATTGTTTTGTCTCTTTTCCCCTAGTAAAATGGGGAGGGATAGTTCTGATCCATAAAGAGTGTATTATAAAGTACCAGGTGCAAATATTATTTCAGCCTTTTTATTTTGGGGGTTTGGCAGACATTGTGTGTTTTTCTTGTTAAATTTGTACATAGAGCAGTGATTCATAAGGCATTTATATCTACCATACTGTTATCACTCACTTGCCAAAATATCCACCAAATGCTGTTCTTTCTGCTTTCCCAGGCGCTCTGTGAGGGGATGCTGCTTCTTGGTTGTATAAAAGAAGTCAATGACTTTGAATTAGTCATCAGCTTGCCCAATGGACTCTCTGGCTTTGTCCCAGTGACACAGATCAGCGATGCCTACAGCAAGATGCTGAGTGAGCAGGTGGCTGAAGGAGAACTCCGGGAGGTGAGACCTTGGATCTGCACTGGGATTTGTACCAAATTGTTCAGGAGGATTAATAAGATCTCCGAATCAGCCCAAAGGTCTTGCTGAGGAGTCTGGTTTTTATTGTCTCACAGCAGACTTCAGTTTGCCTTCAGCGGCTCACCCTTAGCTATGTGTCCATGAATTTAGTAGATAGCCTGTTGAACGTGAAGAAATTTGTGTTTGCTGCTGTAGCTAAATACAGATTCCTGTCTGTGCAGCACAGGGAGGAAGTCAAGGAAGTGTGTGGAAGAAGGTGCAAGGTTGCTCACTGGGGCTTGGGGAGTGTTCCAGCCTTGAAATTACACTGTATGATCTGTTGTGCAGCATGCTGCTAGGTAGTGCTATTTTAGACTGACCTTGGTTTGGACTATGCTTTTCCAAGCTGCCTTTATAATTTCATGACAATGTTCATTACTGGAAAAACAGAAGAGGGGGATATGTTAGCTCATCTCTCCAGTGTCTGCTTTGTTTAAAAAGGTGGTGTGTAATGTGGGATTTGTGCAAGGTACTAACCTTTTATTGGTGGTGTTTTCCTGTCCTGAAGACGGGGCTGAGATTGGGGTCACTCTTGGCTCTGTGGTTGTGCTTTGACCCTCAGCTACAAGCTCCTGATCTCAGCCCCCATAGCATTCCTTTTTTTTTTTTTTTTTTTTAAGAAAACTTGCCAGACTTGTTGAAATCATATAATTTCATCTCAGCCTCTATACTGAAAAATGTTTTTTGCCTTTTATTGTACTATTGACAGAGAAACAGCTTTCTTGCAGGGGAGTGAGGGTGGGGAAATAGTTTCAAAAACTGTTTCAGTACCAAACTCTGATGCTCTTGAATTATTTAATATTGTTTCCTTATTCTCTTGATCATCTTGCTGGGCAGGACTTGAACTCTCTCTTGGACATGTATTCTCCAGGAACATTGGTCAGATGCATTGTGACCAGTGTTGAGAAAAGTGCTGATGGACGACGAAGCATCAGATTGTCCATCAACCCCAAGAAGGTCAACAAGGGTCTGGCCGCTGCAGCGCTCGCAGTAGGCATGGTACGTGCTCTGGGTCTGCTGCAGCCTACCGAGGCTTCAGAGGCTCCCCTTGCAGAATCTGCCTTGTAGGGGCACTTAATTGTTTGGATTTTGTATTTCCAGCTTTATGATTGAAGGTACATCTAATTAGAGCACATGCTATTGTTAAGCATCATTGTTTTTTTTCATGTTTCTTTTCAGCCATTTCTTCACACTACTGATTTGCATTGTCTTTCTCCCAACAGCTGCTCTCTGGCACAGTGTCTAGTGTGGAAGACCATGGTTATATCATTGATATTGGAGTCAGAGGGACTAATGCGTTCCTGCCTCGTCAGAAAGCCCCAAATTACATCAAATTAGCCAAGAAAGGTAGGAAGTAATCAGGATTTTAGTGGGGATGGGTAATAGCAATAACTGGAGCCTTTTATACATTTGGTATTAGTATACCTCAGTGAGATTGGGTCAAAGTGGAGTCTTTGAGTTGCTGAAAGCAATGGCTTTGTCTGATCTGGAAGGCCACTAAGCTGCAGTCTGTTTTCTGACAGAGCATGTTCTTATTCCAAGCTCTTCCATCCCTGCTTGCAGTAGACTTTACTTTGATGGAAAAAAAAAAAGTTCAGACTTGAAGACAAGGGGCTTTGAAAAGGCTTGGGATAAGGCTGTAGGCAGAAGGGAACCCCTGAAAGTACCTGAAGGGGGTTTTATGCTGTGTGTATTGCTTTTGTAGGACCTGACTTGAAGATAGGCCAGAACCTGAACTGCCTCATTGTGGAAGTAAAGAATGAGGGAAGAATTGTCCGTTTGTCCATTGATCGGTCAGAAGTTGCTGCATCCCTTGCAACAGAGCGACAGAACTGGACACTCACTAACTTACTGCCCGGGCTGGTGGTAAAAGCTCAAGTGCAGAAGGTTAGCACTGGTTTTGTTGAATGTTCCTGGAAGCAGAGGGAGGCAGGGGGAACAAGTGAAATGGAGATGGAAATTTATACCCTGGGAGATTTTGTGCTTTAAAAAACACTTAAACACTTTCCTTTAGATACTCCCTAAGTATCAGTTTCACCTAAGCTCCAATCTCTGCACTGGTTGTGAAATTGCAAGTATAAAGGTTATGTCCTGGAGATGGTGGTGATCTTTGAAACAGAACAGAATCCAGTTTATTATCCTTTTGTCTAGGAAGAGTTGTCTAGGAAAAGTTGAGTAATAGACTTCAAAATAAATACAATATTAGAAAAAAAAAATTTTGCAAAGCAATGTAAATAGATGTAAAAAGCAGAATTGTCAATAATCTGCCTCTCTCGATATACTCGATCTTTAATACCAGGAGACTTTGTGAAATGTGAACATGACTCTCTGAAACTGAGAAACGGAGCACCAATTTATTAGGTATCTCACATAATTTCTTTCTCCTTTCTAGGTGGCCCCATTGGGGATCACTCTGAGCTTTCTCTCTTCCTTCACTGGCATTGTGGATTTCATGCACATGGATCCAAAAAAATCCATGAACTATTCTCCAAATCAAGTGGTAAGGAGAGGATGAAGTACAGCTGAAATTGATATGTTACTTAGAGCATCTCTTCTCTAGCAGCATCCTGGTGAAGAATTATTTATCCAGTGGATTAATCTGTGAAATCTTACTGATAATGACCTCTTGTGTTCGAATTCTAATCATGGCTGCTGTAGAGCTGTAAAGAGCAAAGCCATTCTTGGGATAATGGAAGACTTGTGTGGGAGGCGCGAGAGATTTGGGAAGGATGGGAAATGGCTTTAGCAGTTCCTCTCACCACACTGGTACCAAATTAGTCTTTATAACTTTAGCAATGAATAAAAGCCGAAATCCCAGAGCTGTGAAGCCGTTAGAACTGAAATAATGTCTTAGTAGCAGTACTGGAAGGTGCTTGTAAGTGGACAAAGAGTTCAGGTACCGAAGATAACATCTAAAAACATGAGCGAGATGGATTTTTCTGCTTCTGTTTATAAGATGGTCTTTAATAAGCCCCCCGTCTTCTCACCATGCAGGTGAAAGCTTGCATCCTCTCCATCCACCCCACCTCCAAGCTGGTGCGACTTACTCTACGGCAGACCTTCCTCCAGCCTGGAGGATCCCCCAACCAGCTCTCCAGTGACCGCATAGGGGCCGTGGTGGAGGAGTCAACGGTGAAGGCCTTCTTCAAGCAGTTTGGTGCTTTCTTTGAGCTTGATGATGGCAGCCTTGCGTATGCACGGGTAAGTGCCGAGAACCACAAGAGCAGTGAGAGAACTCCTTTGTAGATCTTGTAGCTTATTGAGAAATAAGTTTAGGAGGAAGCTTTATTTTCTTTCTTTTATGTTCGGTGTGAAAAATGTAACAAAATTAGGAGAAACTGGAAGATGTTTGCTAAACTCCCCACTGTCCAGGTATGGAATGTAGGAGGGTTACAAAGGAAGACAGAACTTGTGCAACCTGCTGCACAAGGGGATTGCATTAGAGGGAAGGTTTTGTGAAATTCTGCCATTTTAACTTAGGCTTCAAGGCAGTGTTTCTTATTTCCAAACACTAAATCATTCTTTTTTGTTGTTGTTGGGTTTTTTTTTGTTTGCTTGTTTGTTTTTTTCTAGTTGAAACACCTTTCAAAAACAAGAAAGTCCTTTAAACCTGCAGCATTTAAGACAGGGTGCAAACACAAATGCCGGATAATTGACTACAGCCTGATGGATGAGATGTGTATTTTATCCCTGAAGTAGTAAGTTTCACAGACTTCCATAACGTTATTTGAAGGCTTAGAAGGGTTTGCTCGAGAGTGGAAAATGCTGCTTTGCTTTGTTGACGTGAAACCTGTTGTTTGGAGTTCCCAGCTTGTATCTGTCTTGTTTCAAGTCAGGGTGCCTGAGCATCTCAAGCATCCTCCTGAAACCCTGGGGAAGAGGGATACCATCTGTTTAACTGGTGGGCCACAGGGAAGCAGGGAGGCTAAATGTCTTTTGTTGGAAGGCTGTAGCTGGCTGGTGGCCATGACTCTGTAGTTGTCACCTGGAATGGAGTCTGGTGAACCTGTCTGAACTTGATGACCAGAGAGTGGTGGGAGGGGAGTGAACAGAAGTAAAATACAACCCCAAAGTTATGCAGCACGGGCGAGTAAGACAGGGATTTGGGATTTTTTTTTTAGGACAAGACAGAGGAGATTGTTTCTCTTATTCTAGTTTTCCTCCAGTGGAGTGATTGGTCATGTCTTGCTGTGTTTCTTTTCTAGTCAAGTTATTGAAGCTCGGTTCCTGCAGTATCAAGATGTCCATACTGGGGATGTGGTGAAGGTGAGATCCCGAAGGACTGACACAGTATCTGGAGCAGTTGCATTTATTTTGCCAAATGCTTGTTTTCAATTTCTGATCCAGGCTGGTGATATAAAAATAAGGAGAAAAACTTCTCCTTGGTGGACTTGCTTAATGGAATTTGGTACTTTACCAAAATTTTGTTTTGTTTTTCATGATGCCTCTAAGTCAATCACATTTCAGCCACATCCAATCACATATTTAAGGCCCTGAATAAATTTTTAGCTTCCTTCATTCAGCCTTTCTAAAACTTAACTTGTACTTGGTGCACTGGAAGCATGGAGGTCAAGTGTCCACCATAATCCACAGAAACAATTACTGTGTTATGTCTGACCCATGTATGACTATTGAATATATCTCTGGAAACATGTAGTCTGACAGAGTCAATTTTGCAGAAGAAGGCTATGCTCAAAAATGAGGTAGTAAACAGTCTTGTTTAACATATGAGCTAATGGATCAGATTGGGTGGATTGTACTTTTGGGAGGGTGGTTAGAGTTGGTGGTAGTTTGTAGTGTGATGCATCAGCTGTTTCCTACCCACATACACTGTGCTTACCATGTTGAATTTACACATCTTTTCCCTCTTTTGTGCTCTAGGGTAAAGTATTAGCTCTGAAACCCATTGGGATGCAAGTAAAAATTACTGATGGGATTAAAGGGCTTGTGCCCTCCATGCATCTTGCTGACACAATCCTGAAGCAGCCTGAGAAGAAGTACAGTGTGGGAGATGAAGTCAATTGTCGGGTAAGAGCTGCCAAACAGGGTCTTCAGCTGCTTTAGGCTGCACTTTCTCACTTTGAGTGCTGTGAGCAACTGGCTGATCAGCCAATGGCAGAGATGCTTTTTGAACCTTTTCCTGTTCTGTTCTTCTAGGTGCTGGAGTGCAGACCTGAAGAAAAGAAGCTATTTCTTACTCTGAAAAAAACTCTTGTCCAGTCAAAGCTTCCAGTCCTTTCTAATTATGAAGAGGCTACACCAGGTCTGATCACACATGGCTTTGTGGTGTGTGCAAGGGAGTTTGGCTGCATTGTGAAGTTCTACAATGATGTCAAAGGTCTGGTACCCAAGAATGAGCTGAGTTCAGAGCCCATATCTTCTCCAGAGGAAGTCTTCCATGAAGGCCAGGTAATTCATGCACCTAAACCTATGTTTCATGAATGAATGCCAAAAAAAGCTGCAGTGTAGTTGGCTCTGGCATGGGGTCTTCCAAAGAAGCGGCAGCTACACCAAGAGATGTCCATGTTCTTTTACATTAGGCAATAGCTGTAGTCGATTTAAGTAGATTGTGTGAGAGACAGCTTTTTGAGCGCTTCAGAACTGAATTTGCTTGTTTTTTCTTTCTAGACTCTTCTGCAGGACAGCAGGCACCATGTTGTGTGACTTAGGGACCATGGAGATCTTAGTTTGGGATTCTGGGCCACATCTTCTTTTAAGGGAATTAATGCTCTTAATTAAAAAAATCAGGAGAATGGTTTCTTCTTCCTTTATTTTTTCCTGTTTGCTTCAGGTTTTGTGCATCCCTAAGTAGGAACCCTGGGAGTTGTATTGTGGGCAGGCTCAGCCCTATTCACTGTTTTTGTGGAGCACACTCTTGTCTGAAATCCTACTGTTTGTTGGCTAAGGAGAAAAATTTTCAGGAGTTGTGACTGCGGGTCTGGAGATCTGAGTTTTGTTCTCAACTCTGCTACAGACCTGTCAAAGTCATCTCATGACTTAATGAAAGTTATTTATGTGCTTATTTTCCATCTGTGAGGTCAAGAGATGGTTTCTCTGGTGGATCTTAAGGATAGCAGATTTTAACTTAGGGGTGGTAGAAAAATGTATATTTATTTGCCTGTCTCGTATAGGTTGTAGTACGCTGAGGAGGAGGAATGCATCTAAACCTTGTTTATTATTTTTTTTTTATTTAACCACAGGTTGTCAAAGTAATGGTCTTAAAATGTGAACCCCAGCAGGAAAGACTTCTGCTGTCCTTCAAGTTAACAAGTAAGCCTGTCCCTAAAGGTAAAAGGGAACATATTCCAATGAAGAACCAGCATGCGAAATATGAAATAGGAAAGGTATTGGATTTAGTGACTGCTTTTTTTGTTGTTGTTGTTATTGTTGTTTTCCCAACCCAGTATTGCAGGCGAGACAATTTGGTATCACTTTGAACAACTTTAGGAAAGGCTTTTGGAGATCAAGAAGTAGCATTAAATGTATTTCTCCTATTGGGTGGTTTGCCTACTGATCAAAGGCAGGAAGGATTTGATCTCATCCGAGGACACGATAAAGAAATCCTGCGTCTCTCTTCTAGGAGATGCAAAAGTTAGTGCCCCTACTGCTGGGTGAAGTCCTCTCCTGGGTGCTGCTGATCTTCAAGACATCAGAAGCAGTTGCTTTTCTTTGAGAGAGAAGAGAAAAAACAAACAAACAAAAAAACATAGATGAACTGTTTTGAAACACTTCACTGCTGTCTTTGGGTTTAAAAAATTGCTTCCAACACTCTGCAGATACTACTAGTGTGGGCAAGGGGCGGTCCTAATTTTCTTTAAATGGTTCTCATCTTTCAATCAGGAAGTTAAAACTAAGTGTTTTTAGCCCTTGATTTCTTTGGTAGCTCAGATTTAATATCAATGTTGACATGCTTTTGAAGCTTGGCTCTGTTGGTGTGAGGCTATTTCCCATATACAGCTGAGAGGTCATGTCAGAACCCTTCCAGTACAGCATTTGGTACTTGTGCCTCAAAAGAGGTCACTTCAAAGGTTCTTGGTATTTTTTATCGCTATGCTTGTTCTTTCTTTAGATGGTTGATGTGAAAGTCTTGAAGAAGAAGGAGAATGGCCTAGAGGTTTCCATCTTGGATGATGAAGGCAAAGCCATTGCCTCGCTTCCCACAGTTTACCTTTCAGACTTCGTTGCTAACTGCAAGCTCCTGTACCATTGCCTTCAAGAGGGAGATGTCCTGCCTAGAGTTATGTGCCTAAATAACAAGGGAGAGCGTATTGTATCCTTTAGTATCTCAGCTACTTGAATGGAGACCTTTTTTGAGATATCTGTTTAAATATATATATATATATATCTCTGTAAGAAACAGAAAATATAAGTTTTAATAAGATCACAGTTTTGGCAACAATTCTGCAGTTTTATCAGTTCTGTCTTTTTGGTAGTGTTGGGAGGTTTACATTTCAGCTAGTGTAAGGTATGCATCTTTAATGCTGTACCTCTTTTGAGAAATTGATTGCTAAAATTTAGTATAGAGAAATCAAGACAGTAATTAAAATTGTGTGATTTTTGGGGCTTCTGTACAATCCTGCCACCAAAGACAGCCAGAGATTTGCTTGGCTCCATTCATTCCTCTTTTCCCGTTTCCCCTAACTGGTGGTTCAGATTTTGTGCAGAAAGTCTGCAGTCATTTCTGCTGTACAGGAGGAGCAAGTGGTGAGAAGCTTCTCTGAAATCCAGCCTGATATGCTTCTGACTGGCTATGTGAGGAGCGTGATGCCTTTTGGTGTGTTTGTGGAATTCCCTTATGGCCTTACAGGACTGGCACCCAAAACAGTAAGTCATGTGTTAGCTTGACTTCAAAAATAGCATGTGTGTAATCAGCAGGCAAGCTTGAAACAAGGCATTAGGCAGAGCTGGAGGGAACAATGGGGCTGTAGATCCTGCATTCACTCTGTCTCCCCCAAAAGCTGCTCTTAGGTTTGTGTGTTAATTCTCTTTCAAAATGAAGTAAAGAGTTTGTTCAAATGAACTTAAGGGATAAGGGGGGATTTAATGTGATATCATTTACCTGTTTATATAGATAGCTTTTCTGTTGTCTTGGCTAACTTTTCCTGAACAGCACTGCAGGTGCTTGGCAGCTGCACTCAGTAACCTCGCTCCTTTGTTTTGTCTGCACAGAGCATGTGTGACAAGTTTGTGACAGACACCAAGGACCACTTTTTGGTGGGACAGACTGTGATCGCAAAGGTGATGAGCACTGATGAAGAGAAGCAGCGTGTGCTCCTCAATCTGAAGGTGTCAGAGTGCAGTTCAGGCAATTCTTCTGTGGAAAGCTTTGCCTTGCTAAGCCAGTACTTCAAGGAGGTGAAAGAAATCAGGAACTTGCTGAGAAGAAGAGGTAAGGATTGTACATGATCTCCTAAAGGGGATCAGGTTGCAAAAACTGACTCTAGAAGAATAGTAAAGTGAAACAACTATGTTTGAACTGGGCTTTCTTTTGTTTAAAAAAGACATGGCTTCTGAGGGAAGCCTTTCAGAAGAAAGGTGTCTGTGTAGTGTCTGGCACTGATAAGAAAGCTTTTTGAAATTACTGCTGGAACAAGCCAGATCTTGCTGTTCTCACTGAAATTTCTAGGCTTGCACTGATTTCGGTGAGGACAGGTTGAAACGTAGGGATTAGGAATAGGAAGGTAAAGAGATAAATGAATTGTGAGGTTGTTGTATCAAAAGAAGAAGGAAAATAGAATGGGACAAAAAATTCTTTAAGTAACTGTAAAAGTAAGAAAGTAAGAAACCAGCATGAGATTCAACATTCTTCAAATCACACCTGTTTCCAGCATTGGCCAGGCATTTAATGATTTTTCCCTCTGATTCCATGAAGAATTACCTCTGATTTTGGTCTGGCACTGGATAACTTTTAATATTCCATGCTTCTAATAAGAGCTTTAGTCTGCAGGACTAATTTCTCTGTTCAGTGGACATGAAACTCCATAGGGCTTTATTTTTTAAGGAATATGAGGTTTCAATGCTTGGCCTATTTAATATGCAAATAGAGGTAGATTGCCCAGAAGATTACCCGAGTTGATCATTTTCAGTGGAAAAGTCATTCTTGGAAGCCTGGAAGAACGATTTTGTGTGTCTGAGTTAATTGCCACAGCACCAGTGGAGCAGAACAGGCTGCCCACTCCCCAGACCTGAATGCTCTTGCTGCAAGCAGAGCCAATATTGGGAACCAGCACTGCTAATTGCTTGATTTAGGAAAGGCAGCACTAGTGTCTGGGTATTAGAGTGATTGGCACATAAGAATCAGAGTAGACATAATGTGAATTCTGCTCTGTAATCACAAGTGGTGAAAGATATGAGATAACTGGGAGTAGCCGGAGTGCATTGATGTGATGTGCTGTCTTGAGAAAGGCTGGGTAAGTTACTTTTTTTCAGTCAGCAGCCTGGACAGCTGATTGTTTTCCTCTATAAAAGTGGATATAAATGCTTGTTCATGCTTTCTGGTGATCCTTTGGCAAAGATGGAGCACAGGTGAAAATAACCCCCTGCTTTCTTCTCCCTTTGTTTAGGGGAGTCCAGCGTGGCCCGAAGCCTTTGTGACCTGCTGCCTGGGCAGGAGCTGCAGCTGGTTGTGCAGGATGTGAAGGAGGATGGCTCGGCCCTGTTCAGCAGCAGCAGTGCCACGGGCTTGACTGTAACAGCTACTCGCTACCATTTGGGAGGTGAGGCTCTCTTCTTAGACTGCTTTGGTTTTCACTCTGATACATCCAAATCTCTATTCTTCAATGAAATAATTCTTCAATAGGACTAGCAACTTCAATAGAATTAATATCTCAGAATTTCTGTACTCAAAGATTTTGTTTCGTCAGTAGAGTGACCTTTTTGTGCAAAGCTAGCATAATCTTGTTCAAAACCTACCTTACATTGAATTTTAGTTTAGTTAGTCTTATCTGCACTATCAATTTAGTTCTTCCATGAAAGTATCAGATTCTTTCTCTACGTAAAGGAAGCCCTTTCATTTTCCTTACAATTACCATTGGAGCAATCTATTTTTCTGAGACATGTTACACAGCTGGTACTAGCTGTGATTGTTGTTATCTCCTGACAGAATTAAGAGTTTTGACCACTTCATAGTCTCTCTGTTCTCACTTGCAGAGAAAGGTGTTGTTCCTGGTGAGAGAGCAAAAGGATTGGTTCTTCATGTGGATATCCTCTCATCCGTGGTGCATGTTTCCCTTCGAGAAGAACTGTTAAAACAAAGAACCAAGCAAGTATGTATTCAGTTTTTAGGATTGTCTATTTTTGACTTTTAACCAACCTTAGCTGGTTAATTAATTTGAGGGGGGACAGGAAACTGTTTAATCCTTTGGAGCTGCGGGAAGTAGAGTGAAGGGAATCAAGGTCCCAGCAGGGAAGGTCATTATCTCTATTTCCATGTTGCAGCTGGCAGAGAACTCCCAACACTGTGCCGTCGTGCAGCACATTGCAGACGAGTGTGCCGTCATCTCTTTGGAGACGGGCCAGCTGGCTGCTATCCCCATAGCCTCTCACTTCAACGACACCTTCCGTTTTGACTCAGAAAAACTGAAGGTGGGACAGATGGTCTCTGTGACCTTAAAAACAGTCAAGGGGCATGACCATGGAGTCTTGTTAGCGGTACAAGATCCAGCAAAGAAGAATGTTTTTGTAAGGTTCCGGAAAGAGTCTGAGACGGCTTTGGAAGACACCCTTACTGCTGTGCAGCACTCGCTTTCTGTGGGGGATGTTATTACTGGAACTGTTAAGTCTGTCAAGCCTACCCATGTTACAGTCGCTATTGACGACAAGTTGACGGGTTCAATCCACGCGTCCCGGATCTTGGATGAAGTACCTATGGACTCCTTTCCAACATATACTCTGAAAGCTGGACAGAAGGTGACTGCCCGGGTCATTGGAGGCAGGGATGTGAATACTCACAGGTAGGAAAAACATGCACCTAGTACTACTTGAGTAGCACCTTAGATGGGACACTTAATTCAGATGATCTGGGCTGTTCCCACTTTTACCAGCCACTGTTACAGCTGCCCTTGCTGGAGTTGGTGCTGAGTGAATCTGTCACCACATTCCATCCTGTGTCAGGGTTGCAGTGAATTTGTTCTTTTCATCTGTGCTGCTGGATCTATCTTGGTGGTAGATTGCAAAAAAGAATGATGTGTGAACTTGTGTTACGGTCCACTAGAAGCCTTAAGTGCAATGTCTCTGCATATCTGCAAGCAGATTTGTCTCAAGGGGCTAAGTTTGTGAAAGTGCTTTTGAGTCCTGAGAAAGCACTGTGAGGAACTGAAACAAGAAGACTTCGGTAGTTTTAGAAGAGCGCTTAACACCTGCTTTTCCTCAATGCAGTGGGAATATGGGTGACTGGAGCATGTAGAGGTTTTGAGAAACTGTTTGATCCTTTTTCTGTTCTTCAGGTATCTACCCATCACCCATCCACACTTCACACGATCCATCCCAGAGCTCAGCATTCGACCAAGGTGAGTGTTGATATCTCTGATCCCTGCAGATAATTCACAAACCTTGTATTCACATGGCTTCCCTTCCTTGTCCTCCTGTTTGTGAAGGATCTGGATGTAGCAAGGAGCTTTGTGAATGCAGTGTGGCAAGGCCTGTTACTCCCACTTTCATCTCATTTCATACCTGGGAGCTGTTAAAGATCCTGGTGCTCTTGCAGTACATAATTTCCTTTGAATGTTCTTTGGCATCAGGTGTTGCCCACTTGGAGTCTGATTCCTCCATGTTGGGAGCATTCTCTCTCAAGAGAACTAATGACAAGAACTAATTCCCTGCAGAAGGATGCAACAAGGAAGAGGATGGGGGTGAATGTGTCAGTAATACTGACTCACTGTAATCTCTTGTGTTTCTAATGCTAATCTTCATCATTAAGATCAAACCTCTAACTGATGTCCTTTCTACTTGTATGCAAATAGTGAAATAGAGGGGAAAGCTGTAACAATGCTGAACCATAAAGGAGACAACGCCCCTAAGAAACTTGGACTCTACAAAGTAGGGCAGACTGTGACCTGTTTTGTTAAGAAGGTAAGATCAGAGGCTTTATAAGACATGTACTGGGGATGCAGCAAGTAAGGTGACCTCAGAGATCTCAGCTCAGGCTTCTAGACTGACTCTACTTGTTCTTTGCTAGTTGTTAAGTGTGGCCTGTGCAAAATGCCGTGTCTTATGGGGCCAGCAGGAGAAAGAAACACCACTTTCTATACTAGCAAGAATAGAGCTAACTAATGCTCACTGATATGTCTGTTGCTGGCTTATGTTTTCCACCCTGTAGTTTACCTTGACACAGACAAAGAGAAAACTGTCTGTGCCAGCTGTGCAAAATACACATATTGTCATATGCCTCTTCACTTATATGTGCATCACTGCAACATTATGGCTATAACATAAATAGGAGTCAAATTACTCTTTTTGGGTGATACAGGAGCCCAGGCCAGAGGGATCCCTTCTGCCCTTAAAAGTGAAGGGGTTCTTTGGTAAAGGTTTTTGTTGTTGTTTTTGGACCTTCGTCTTTTTTTTTTTTTCCTTCAAGATCTAATGTTCTCTTCTGTTTGATGTCTTCTCAGTATAACACCATCAAAAATTGGTTGGAGGTAGAAGTCACACCTGACATTCGTGGAAGAGTTCCACATTTGCTGCTGTCTCTCAACACCAAGGTAAGAGATTTTTATAGATGAGCTACACAGGTTTCTATGCCTGAGGCTGTGGGTAACAATCACTAACACTTTTCGGTTATCTATGTGAACTTATGTGGATATCCAGTGGTCTGCCCATTATGCACTGCTGTCTCTCACTGACAAACACATATTATGTCTGTTAGTTTACCCCAGGGTAACAGACCCCTTGAAGCAATGTGGAGCTCTTCATCAAATGTATGTCAGAGGTGTGTTTTGAAAGTGTAAAGCTTCACAGGAGAGTACAGCAGTCAGAGCTGGAATTGCAAAGGTCCTTTTTATGGTATTAAGTGATTTTTTTTTTTCCAGGTTCTAAAGCATCCAGAAAAGAGCTTCAAAAGTGGCCAGGCATTGTCTGCTACAGTAACTGGAACAGATGTCACTGAAACCAACCTTTGCTTGTCACTTACAGGTATAGTAGAGCCTTAACACCAGGACTCTGCTGCCTGTGATGAGGCACTGAGGTGGAGTTGCACTGACCTCCCTGGGCAAAGACGTTATGCTTCATAGCCAAGCTGCACCTCCCTGGGGAAGGAAGGGAAAGGCAGAGAAGACCTGGGTCCTTGACTCAGATGTGTGGCAGCATGTAAGATGAGAAAGGATCAGACCTTTAGTCTAAAAGTCACTCACAGATGTGTTGCAGACTGAAACCCTTCTCTGACCTCTTATAAAAAATATTTCCTTCTAATCTCAGGCATGAGATGTTAGAGAAACCATTCCTTTTTTTTTTTTTTTTTTTTTTCCTGGTGGGGCGGGTGGGGAGACCATGTCTGATCCCAGCCATGTCTGATACCAGCCTTGCTGCTGCATTAGCTGTTTTGCTTGTGCACATCTGGAGTATTATGAACCTTCCCCCTCTTCCTTTGCTCTTTCCAGGAATCCAGTCACTGGAACAGGGCAACATCACCGTAGGCACCGTAGCAAAGGTGACTCCACATGTTGGCTTGACCATTGCATTGCATGGAGGGAAGACTGGCAAAGTCAGTATCTTTCACGTGAGCGATAGCTACACAGAGAAGCCTCTGGATGACTTCAAAATTGGCAGGGTTGTCAGGTCAGTTCTTCTTGCTCCTTCAGATTGGGAGGTTTAGAAATATTCCCCTTTGGTGACACTTCTCTGCTGTAATGTGGCACCAGATACATAGGGCTCAGTGTTCAGCTCAGAAGTGATGCTGCCTTCTTGCGTGAGGTGTATTTCAATCTGTTTTAACAGTACTTCAGAAGACAGTGAGCCTTAAACACTGCTGCAGAGATTGCTAGGTCTGTGGAAGAGATGATGATAACCTTACACATACATGTGCCTGAAATGCTCTTATACCTTCTGTGTATCAAGAGGCATATCTTTGGCTGTCTTTTTGGACTCGGTTTGGGAGAAGATACTCTCACAGTGAGGGTAATGAACAGGACTGAGAGCACTCAGTTATACCAGTCCTGCTATGGTTTTGAAGGTCACTTGTCAAGTTGGGTGTCTTTATACCACATCTGTAACATTGCGTTTTCCTGCTACATAAGTTTATTAGGAATGCTGGAGGTTAAATAAGCCAAGTGACTCAGCTGTAGTAATCTTCAAGTTCTTTGTACCAGTATTAGAGACTGGATAAAGCAAATAGGTCTGTTTCAAAAATCAGCTTCAGCTGGTTTCATGAACAATGGCACTATTGTGTCATGCTGGTTTGTGTTAGACACTAGGTGTTCCAAGAGACAGAACAGTTTGTCTCCTCCAGAGCTTCTTTCTGTTATGGCAAACTATATGTTTTCTGCTAATAGCTTTATTATTATTATTATGAAATAAAACTTTCTGTTCTCTCCCCTTACTCTGCCATACAGGTGTTATGTCCTTTCCACTGAAAATGGCAAACGTTATTGCAAATAATATGTTTTCTGCTTATAGCTTTTTTTTTAATGAAATAAAACTTTCTGTTCTCTCCCTTTACTCTGCCATACAGGTGTTATGTCCTTTCCACTGAGAATGGCAAAATCCAGTTATCTCTCCGGCAGTCCAGGTAGGCATCTTCCTTCTAGACTATGGATCTGCTATCAGTGATTGAAAAGCAGTGAAAATCCAGTAACTAATAGCTGATCTGCCTTGAAACACGTTGGTTTGGACAGCTCAATGCAAAGTGTTCAAAGGACTAGAGTTTTTTAAGGCACGAACTTTGTTCCTGCTGCATAAAGTTTTCTTGCATGTCAGAAAACCTGGTATGCCTGGCATGTAATGTAGAACTGAGCAAGTGCGCGCTCATTTGGTTACTTTTATTTGCCATCATTCTAGACCTAACTTAACTTTTTAATTTGTGAATCAAGTTCCTCTGTTGCGTTTGCAGCATAAGTTTCTTTTAATTTTCAAGCTGCATTTTTAACTGCTTGGGCTAAAGAGCAGGCCTAGTCTTAAATGTGTGGTAAACCAAGCCTCTTGCTTTGACTTGGTTGTATTAACAAAAATATTAAATTTTGTGGAATGGGATATCTTTAGAAACAAATGGGGGATAAAAACAGGCCAATGTTTTTGAATTTCAGACTGCATTTAATTCATCTCTTTCTCTCAGTGTCAGAGGAAACCAGAACTTTCTCTATTGGCTATGTTTGTGGGAGTATTTGTGTGTTCTCTGAAGTGTGTGTGTGTATGCTTGAGCCAAGATAGAGGTATTCTGCTAGTACAGTTGAATAAAATGAAAAGTCTCTCTGATACAGGATGTTTTTCCAGAAAGTACTTTCTTATTTTTTTGGTATCCAGATCAGAATATGGGTTATTCAAACTGATGCTTTTTTTTTCCCCCATCTTTTAGGCTAAATCCGAAGAGCAGCAAAAGAGCAGAAGATGTGGAAATAGCAAGTATTAAGGATGTTAAAAAAGGCCAGCTAGTGAGGGGCTATGTCAAATCCGTCACTCCATCAGGGGTATTCTTTAGGTGAGTGGCGTGAGACCAGAATACTGCATTGAGATGTGATGGGTCTTGAACTGTCTTGTTTTGGATTTGTGACTCTAGAATTCTGTTTGGGGGGAATCTCTGTATAACATGATGATGCAGAATGAATTTCCTCATGGAAATCAACATTTCATTGTGAGTTTTAGTGAGCTTATGAAATTAAAATAAGAAACATTTATGTGGCACAGTATAGAATTTCCTGTGCCACAGAGAAATGCAGAGCATTTTTTCTGGTTGTGTTTTGTTTTGATTTGCCATGATTTTTTTCTCTTCTCAGCCTGTCTGCTTCTCTTCTGGGTCGAATCCTGTTCCAGAATGTTTCCCCTTACTTTGTACGGAAACGCTCCTTATATAAGAAATACCTACCTGAAGGAAAACTGCTTACTGCCAAGGTCCTTGGGTAGGTCTCAAGTTCTTGAAAAGGATCATGAATTAGCAGAAAGGAGATAAGGGAAGGAGTGCAAAGAGGGATAGTAGCTAGGAAGAATGGTAGGAAGATTTTGGAATAAGTTTGGGTTTTTGCAGACACTGTAAATGTTGTTCCCCCTCCCCCCCCCCTTTTTTTTCTTCCTTTTCCACTCTTCTCCATTACCTGCCCCTGCAGTATAAACAGGGAAGAAAACCACGTTGAGCTTTCTCTCCTGCCTGAGGACACTGGGATGTCAAGCATCTTGCCTGAGTCCCTAGGCCTGCCACGCTATGATGCAGAGGAAGAGAGAAAAGAGAGGGAAGAGAGTGAGAAGCAAAAAGAGCTTAAGAAGCTGAAGAAAAAACAGAAAAGAGGGAACTCTGAAAGTGAGCAGGTATGGATGTGATTGTGCAGGACTTAAGGGGTTGGCTAGCCCAGGCACGACAAAGGATGAGGAAGATCCACTGGCATCAGGCTGGAAAAGAAGTGAGGAATTATATGGAGTGGAGAGGGAAAGGGGGATGAAGCCATATTGGAAACTATCAAAAATCAGAAACTGTAATTTAAGTAAAAGCCACCTGAATTAGCCTGATTGTGTTGCCTGAGTGGCCCATCCCTTGTTCCTGTGTTGGTAAGCATGACTTATGCTTGGTTGTTTCCATTATTTGCAAGAGTGGGAGTTGCTGTTCTGGGGCACTTCCCTCCCTCTGCTGTCAGGATCATTTCTTTGCAGTCAAAATTGCTGGTAGGATTCATTCCAGAAGTTTCTTCAGCATTTACTTGTTTACTCGCTATTGTAGGAGACAAAGCCAAAGAAAAGGAAGATCTGCCCAGCAGATGAAAGTGACAGTGGAATTGAGGTGTATTGCCGAGAGGAGGAGGAGGAGGATGACCAGAAAGAAGAGGAGGCATCTAAAAAGAAATCTATGGTGAGAAGTTCAGTGGCGAATTTGTGCATGGGGGTGAAAGAGAATATTCATATTTAGTCAAGGGTTACCAGAATTGCTGATCTGACACAACCAGTATGGAAAATGACTTTCCAGTGCTGTTGAGATGCATCAGTTTTGACTTGGATGACAAGATTGCAGCAACGCAGACTGGTCTTCATGTCCAACATGTCGACTATGAGTGGTGTGAGAAACATTGACTTAAAATTACAGTAAGGGTGACCAAGTGAGATGTCTTTCCTGTTGGACTGGGGCATGACAAGTTGATAGTACTGACCAGAGAGGAGGCACAAGCAGACATTGCTGTGTCCAGTCTCTGTGCAAAGCTTTCAGATAAAAACCTGTGGTATTCCCTGTCTGTCTCCAAGCAGATAAAGAAACTTGGTGAGGTTCCCAGGCTGCAGGTTTCCACTGGTTTCACTTGGGATGAGGACATGAACACAGTTGATGTGCCAGCACTGAGCCAGAAGGAGAGTTCAGACAGTGAAGAGGAGGATCTGCAGTCCAAGGTACTGTGTGCTAGAACTGCCAGCATAGGAGACACCACCTGGGGGCTCTAATGTGTTGTCTTGATGCTTGAGTGTGTGTGTGTGTGTGTGTGGGGCAACGTTTGCCACATGTTGAAGCCTTCTAACCCAAGGGACCATCTTTGCCAGGTAATATAGAACTACTTTAACTACTTCGAGTATTAGGGTTAGCAGCAAGTATCTCTGAAGCAGGGGAGAGAAGATTCCCAGTCCATCATGGATGCGTGAAGAACGGGCCTTCTCAGGGTGGCATCCGAAAAAGTGCTGAAACATTATTTACAGAAAAGCATGGTTTCATTAAAAACAAACTTTTTATATTTGATTTCAGCATTGCTTTGGTTGCTGAATGTTTTTGTAATTTTAAAGGAAATCCTGGAGATGAAAAGACTTTTCACATAAAGGCCTTTTTATTAAAAAAAAAAAAAAAGCCAAAATACTATTTTATGCTGAGATTTTTGGTGAAGTTTTCCACTGTGAGCAATCCAGCAAAATCAGAAACAAGCTCGTGAAGTCCTTTATTCTTTGGGCTTTCCCCTGTTCCCAAAACTAAGCTCTGTGAAGGAGGTCTTGCATGGTTTGGATGCCAATGCATGTCTCCCTAATGTGGAGAACTGTACTGCTCTGTATTCCCAATTTAGTCCTGAGTCACCCTGGTGGTCCAGAAAGATGTCCAGTGTTGAAGCATTTCTCCTATATAGCCTGATTGTTTTTTATTTTAATGGAATTGAGTGGTAGTGGTGAGTTAGAGAAGAATGAAAGGGAGGAGGGAAGTGCAATTATGCAATTGGTGTGCAGGACTAGCAAAGTACTTTGGTCTATTGATGAATTTCATGAATGGAAACCATATTTCTTTCAAGTCTGCTCTTTTCAGATGTGAATTTTCTTTGTGTGAATTTTTTTGGGCAGGGGGCAGGAGAGGGACTGGTTTTCCTCCTCTCTAAAATAATTGCCCCCGTTTCATCTTATGGAAGTTGCTCTGTTCTGAATGTACTGGGGTCTGACTCTGCTACAGCTGAGTGAGTGTTCACATGTTAAGTGCCTACTTTATACCAATCCCTCTCTTGGCGCCTTCAGCCAAAGAAGCAGACAAAGAAGGAGAAGGAGCTGGAGAAGGAGAAGATGGAGAAGGAGCTCTGCAAAGTAGAAGCTGCCCTGATGGACCCCAGTCGACAGCCCCAGACAGCAGATGATTTTGACCGCCTTGTGCTGAGCAGTCCCAACAGCTCCATCCTCTGGCTGCAGTACATGGCCTTCCACCTGCAGGCCACCGAGATCGAGAAGGCCAGAGCTGTGGCAGAGAGAGCGCTTAAAACCATCTGCTTCAGGTAATGATAGGGTTTTGCTTTTTCCTTGTACCAAATGGTAAGTGAAGGTGGGGGTAATGGTGGGAGGGGAGCATTGGGAACGCCATTACTGTGTGCAGGTGTAGCCTGGGAAGGGCTGTTTCAGTGAGTTCAAAGGGACTATGTGGCTGCAGTTGCAAGCTGGCCTCATGAAGTTGTAGCCTGAGTCACCACGCTTGGCCTGCTGCAGCCCATGAGCACTCTGGCTCCCCAGGGTTCCAGTGAGCCACACGGTCATACCTCAGCGGTCAGCAGGGTTTGAAGGACATAGTGCTGTCAGTGAAGTCCTCAAAACAAACTGAAACCTCTGTGGCTTCTTTCCATACCACTGGGTATTGAAACATCTTCACGTTATGTTGTGTTTTCTTGAATCATCCCTGTGGTTTTAAATTATAAACAATAGTGATTAAAGCTTGCAGTGTGAAACAGCTATTGTGCTCTGTCCCAGGAATAGTGTGTTTAAGGGATCGTTTATGCTCACTTCCTATGTCTCAGAAACAAGCTATGTGCCATTGAGTATGTGCCGGATTGTTTGCAAAAACCTCATGAAGGCTGGTAAAAAGCTAAACATTCTTGTTTACATTTGTTTTAAGGGAAGAGCAGGAGAAACTAAATGTCTGGGTAGCTCTGCTGAATCTGGAGAACATGTATGGCACTGAGGAGACCCTGATGAAAGTCTTTGAGAGAGCTGTTCAATACAATGAACCTCTAAAAGTCTTCCAGCATTTGTGTGACATCTATGCCAATTCTGAGAAGTACAAGGTGAGGTGTTTCCTGATTTTGTTTCAAGCAGCATGGGCTTGAATGCCCTGGGACAAGCCTGAAAGACTTTGGGGAAATAGAAGGAAGAGAACTCATTTTCCGCCTGGTCTGGGCTTCCTTGTGCCATGGCTTGTTAATGCTGGTTGCACCCTTGGAGAGTCTGTAATGGGTATGATTCCTTCTGCACTTGTTTTTTTTAAAAGACTTAGAATGAGGAGCCCTGATTAGAGGTGGGTATAGTGCAGACAGCTCCCAGGCAAGTATCCTCTCCAGACATGCCAGTAAACCCTATTCTGCCTTTGTAAGCTTCCAGCTGTCAGACTTGATATCTGTCTTAGCCCTAACTGTCACTAGTAGTTATGATGGGCAGCTGGCAAGGCACTGTTAATACTTTCTTCTTTCACAAATGTTTGAAGTTACCTGGCCAAGACAAAGAGTCTCTTAGAGCTACAAGACTTTATCATGAATCTATATGATCTAATTCAGTCTCCCCCTCTGCCCTTCCAGCAAGCAGAAGAGCTATACCACACAATGCTGAAGCGTTTCCGTCAGGAGAAATCTGTGTGGCTGAAGTATGCCTCCTTCCTCCTGAAACAAGGCCAAACTGAGGCTACACACAGACTTCTGGAGCGTGCTCTCAAGGCTTTGCCCACCAAAGAACGTAAGCATTTTCCTACACATCTGTGATGCAGTCTGACAGGTCTGATAAATTAGCTGCTCTCTGATATCTCTATCCTCCTGTGGTAGCGTTTGTAGGAGCTGCAAACTGCAACCAGCTTGAACCTACTGCCCTTGTCTATAAGGGAAAGGAAAATTTCAGCTTGGTATCATTTTTAAGCCCTTTTGTAATAAAATCTGCTGTCATGGGTAAAAGAGAGGGTGATTTTGGTTCTTCAGGCTCTCTGTAAAAGCTCGGTGGTTTTGGTTCCAGGTTTGTGGGGCTGGGCTTGACCCTGGACTGGTGCTTTGAGTGCAAGAACAAACCTCTTTCCTGGAGAGAGCTGAGATGCGAAAGTGGAGCACGACATCTCCCTTTCCACTTCCCCAATCCTGTTTTGGTCCCAAATCTCTTAACAGCAGGCTCTTTTGTATCTGGGTAGAGATGGTGTTCTCCTTGTAACTGCCTCTTTGGTGTAATGGCTGCTCACCTGTGTGTGTTCATGGGGAGAGTGCCACTCTACTACCTTAATGTCTTTACTTCTTCCAGATGTGGATGTCATTTCAAAGTTTGCACAGCTCGAGTTCCGCCTTGGAGACCCAGAACACGCTAAGGCCCTCTTTGAGAGCACCCTCAGCAGTTACCCCAAACGCACGGACATCTGGTCCATCTACATGGACATCATGATCAAACGTGGCAGCCAGAAGGAAGTGCGGTGAGTCCTGCCACAGCAGCTGGGAGGGGAAAGTCCAGTGCTTGAGTAACACTGAAAAAGAGTAGATACACCATAGCATGTGGCTGTTGAAGGCTTTCCAGAGCAAAGGAGGACTTGTATCACCTGGAGAAAGAGAACTTGGGGAGTGTGGAAGGGTTTATCTTTGCCGTGACTGAGGAGATTCCAAGGAGATCCACAGGGCAGAAGGGGACTGATTCGTAAGGGTGACCTGCATGACAAAAATGAAGTGACTTGCATTGAGGCATCATACTGTACTTAGTGGGACTGCTAGGTTGTTGGTGGGCTCTCCTTGGTTTGTCAGGATCTGTAGAGCGATTCTGCTAAGCTGCCATGAGGTTCTGGTGCCTTGACAACTGTAATGCTGTCGTAGCTGCTTGTTGTGCTGTTTAATTCTGCTGTCACTAACTCCGCACAGACAGTCTCTGAGCATACTGATCTCCAGGCTAAGCTGTCCCTAAGGAGAAACAACATTGCCATGTTGTATTTCAGGAGTGAAATTAAGCGTTGCTTTTTGGCATATGTCATAACAAAAAGAGAGATCAGTCACTTTTTGCTGAGAGTTGACAAAAGGAAGTCCAGCTTCCTGCTCTATGGATCTAGCTTTGGCCTCCTCTGTGAACTGAGGATCAGATAAAGTGAATGGATCTTAGCACAAGTTGACCAGCAACATTTGAGCTCTGCTTTGAGGTATTTGCCAGTTCTTAGAAATCTCTTGCTTTTCAAGCACCAGCACTTTGCAGCAGGTTGAACGAATTTGCCCTTTATTCAGAGGCAGGAGATAGAGCTTCTGTTGAGTACCATCCCCCACACAGTGATCTGAATGTCCTTTGGTTTCTTACAGGGACATCTTTGAGCGGGTCATACACCTCAGCTTGGCACCCAAGAGGATGAAATTCTTCTTTAAACGCTATCTGGATTATGAGAAGAAATATGGTACAGAAGAAACTGTCCTGGCTGTCAAAACAGCAGCACTAGAGTATGTGGAGGCCAAGAGTTCCCTTGCTGAGAGCTAAATATGGAGCAAATAAAAGCAGAGACTCAGTTCTTCATGCAGTGTGGGAACCAAGAGGTGTGGAATTCACCTGGGGATGTCCATGGACAGTGAGTTTACTGACAGTATTGGTATAGCACCAAGCCAAACCAGAAGAACAAATAATCCCAGAAAAGATCTGATAAATGTGTACAACTGCTCATCTGTCATAAATTAGGCTAGCTTGATTCCAGTTATTTAAATATAGACTATTTTATGATCCATTTGAGCATCAGCCCTACCGGTTCTGCTTTCCTATGGAAATGGTGCAGTTATTACCCCTATTATTAGCTACAGTGATATCCTATAAATTTATTTCTCTCTGTCCAAAAGCAGAGAAGATCCTTGCCTTTTGCCTGAAATCAATGCTTCAAAAGATTACTCAAGTGCCTTTGTGCTGCCAGCAGCTGGCAGAACAACATGGAATCTCTGAGTGGAGGAGGTTGGAAGGTACCTTGAGATACAGTCCCCTTCCCCTGCTCAGATGGGTCAACAAGAGCATGTTTTTCAGGACCACGTCCTGTTGGGTCTTGAATATCTCCAGGAATGGAGATACCACAGCCTCTTTGGGCAACCTGTTCCAGTGTTCAGTTACCTTTATGGTGAAGTTTTTTCTTCATGTTTAAATGGAACTGTTTCAGTTTGTGCCCATTGCTTCTTGTCCTTTGACTGGACAACACTGAATAGAGACTGATTCTCTTGTTTTTACACTCTTGGATGTCCCTGAGCTTTCTCTTCTTCGGGCAAAACAGTCCTCCTTAAATATTAGATGCTGCAGTCCTTTAATCATCTGTCACCCTTTTCTGGACCTAGCGCAGTGTAGCCCAGTGTGTTCACCTGCCTTGTACTGGGAGTCTGGCACTGGAAGCAGCAATCCAGGTGTGGCCTCAGCTGTGTTGAGTTAGAGGAGGAATCACCTTCCTCAGCCTGCTGGCAATGCTCTTCCTAATGCAGCCCTGAAGGCCAGTAGCCTTTTTAGCCACAGGGCGTGTGCCTTGAAAGCCCAAAGCATCCAATTATCACAGATCCCATGATCTCTTATAACAAACTGTGAGTGATGGATGATAAAAATAGTGATTTTTCGGTTTTCAATTGCCTCTTTAGAGGTCAGTAAAGTCCATTTTTTTCCTTCTGTGCTGAAAAAACTATCTGATTCCAGTCTAACTTCTATTGGAAAAATAGCTAAGCATCTTGGACACTTATAGGCTTGCTTACTGGTATCAGTGCCTTATGATCCTTACTCTTCTAACTTTTTGGTGGGATGCAGAGGTGGTCATTGTTTTACAGATGAGGAACTGAAGGAGAGGGGAAAAGATGGGTGTGCAAACACTTGTGATTATCCAGTGAGGAATCTAGTTCGTGGGCACCTTGCTTCAAAATATCAAAGTCCATGTGTAGGGACTCTGACCTCAAAACCAGCATGCCTACAGACCCAAGTGCTCTGGTTCTGGATACTCAGTGTTAGCAAGGCTGCATGATTCAGCATTTAATTAATTCCTGTGTCCATTGAGATCCAGAAACAAGTCATCCTGCCTCTTGCCCCAAGGGAGAGCTGGGTACTGTACACGTCTGCAGTTTGCCTAATGCTCTCCTGTGGGAGGAGGTTGCTTGCAACACCCAGTAGCAGCTGCTGCTTTCTTTTAAATCATAGCTGGAGAGATTTTTCTTTTTTGAATTTGTTGCAGAATGGAATATGTAAGCATCGCAACAGAAACCAAAAATCCCTTTGAGGTATTATTTCTTTACAGCTACTGGGATTATAGTTTCTACAGTATTCAGCAGGTCAAATGAAAGAGCTGTGTGTAATTCTCTCTGCTGGAGGAGACTAATTTATACCCACCTTGCTGCTGGGTAATAAAGTGCTCTAATGAGCAGCTGTGTTGAGCTTGTGTTGAGGCTGTTTTTAGCCTTTCTAGGAGGAGCAGAGAGCCTGCAAGCTCATAGCATGTGTGATGTGGCACCATAGGAAGATAGGCAGCTAAATTTCCTCTCCTGATGCTCTGGTGGGAGACCTAGTCTGCTTGTTTATGCTGGGGTAAAAAGCCCATGTGGCTTAACAAGGGCTTTTTTGCAGAGGTTAATCAAATCTAGACTAGTTTCTTCCTTTGCCTGCAGCCTTTCCCACACCTCTGTAGCCCTTGCACTGACTCCTTTCCTGTCTCGGTATTTATCCCTTGTGCTGCCTCATGGGGAAGGATGGAGCTCCTATGTGGGCAGGGGGATTTGGGAGCAGACAGTAGCTTGGCTGCACACCTTACCATCAGCTGCCCACCAAAACATGCCTCATGAACAAGGAGGAGGCGGGGAAATGGACAAGCAGGACAAGTCTCTGGCCCATCCCAGCAAAGGGAAAGCTGCTGGAGTTAATACAGAAGAGGAAAAATGAACCATGATGAGAGCAGGTTGCTGGAGAGAAAGAGTAAGTGACCCAGTGCTAAGGACAAGTTCTTAAAAACATTAGTCTGCCTCCTTAATTCTACTGGTGTCTGCACACAAGAGAGCCAAACAGCAAAGGCTGGGTAGTCCTCAAGGTTTATTCTCAAGATAAACAAATTTGTTTTATGAGCATTATGTGTCATGCCCCCTTTCCTTTAAAGGAGGGAAGAGGAGAGAAGGAACTGGTTATGGAAGTGGTTCAAAGGAACAACTAGGAATATCAAGGAGGGAGACAGGAGAAATAAAGGAAATAAGAGGCACGGGAATATCCTCCTGCTACTGTGCGTCAGCAGGTCACTTTGCATCTGCTGACTTGCACGTGGGGGTGGTGAGCATGTTCACACCTGAGGGCCAGTCAGAAAAATGCAAATCAACTCTTTCATCTCAAGTTAATGTAGTTTTGTTTAACCCTCACCTGGTCATTCCTCCAGACTAATCAGTGGTGTTTCTATGAGCCAGGCTTCTGCACAAATGCAAGGCAAATCTGTGAAGAAGCCTAACAGAGATCCAAGGATTTCTTTCCACTAAACAGTGTATAGTTTTCTTTACAGTGAGCACCTTCCACACCTTCCAGCTCTTTTTTTTTTTTTTTTTTTTAATCCCCAAGGGGATATATTTGTAAACAGGTTTATAAATGCATTTTTTTTGATATAGACATGTACCTTTTCATAAAATCTGCACTCCTTATTGCAAGGATGAGTAAAAAGCAGTGTTACTAACTTGTAATATTTGGTGCTGCTTTAAAACTTCAGGTCCTGAAGTCATCTGAATAAGATAGGATCTGAATGTTTAATAGAAGGAAACAGTAAGTTCCCAGTCTTTGTGCTTATTAACATATGCCTTCTGTGCCCCCTCCCTGCCCCAGGGGGAAAACAGAAAGGCAATGAAAATGGATTCTCATTCAATAACTTATTTCAATTTTACTTGTGTTTAAGGCTTTTTTCAGTAAAAAAGCATAGTATAAAACTAAAGTCAACTTTATAAAGAAGCAGTACAAATAGGAAAACCAAATTCCATTGTTCTGCCAACTCTTAAAAGCGTAGTGGTGGTGCAAGGTTGACCCGTAGGCGCAGGAGACTGGAGTGTTCCAGAAGAGCCTCGGAGCTGCAGCACAGGGAGGACAGTAATTTTACACCGATGCGGCCTCACTTGTCCCTAAAACAGTTTGCTGCAGGAGCCACTTAAGGCAATGGAAAGAGTTTAAGAAAGGTCAGTGGTGGAGGGCTAGAGAAAGCGCTGCTTCCACCCCATTCCACTCCTGCTGATCCTTGTCACTGTGGGCTGGTTGCAGTCTCTGTGTAACAGAGGTGTGTGTGTGTTATGTGGTCTTTTGGCTAGCAAGTTTCTGATCTTGTTCCTGAGAAGAAAAGATGCTTCATTCTTGTGGCCAACTAACCATGCTTATATGGTATAGTTATATGAATATAACTGAATCTGGTTGAGACCTTGCTGCAACTTGTCAACAGTTGGATGAGAAACTCGGTGAGCTACAGGCTGTGGTGTGGTTCACACCAAGGACTGAGCCTCCAGGTAGCTCAGCTAGGAGTGTTCTGCTGATGGTGCTGTCTTCCAGGTTTGTAAACTCATAGTTGTGACCGTTTGGACTCATTTAAAAACCCAGGGCACTTCCAGCAAGAACAAAGGGAGTTTGGTGTCCTACCCAGATTCCAATTTGGTAATTAGGGAGCGTCTCTCTAAATACCGGGAATTTCAGTGGTTCCTCCTGCCTTAGTCTTTCAGCTATTTGGTGTGCTGGTGTGCAATTGCATCCCAGTTGCCACAGGAATTTATCCACTGCCCTGTGTCCTCCCTCTCTCCCTGTGCTGTACAGTCTGTACAGTGCTCTAGGACCTGTTTCCAGCAGGCACTGCAAAGCCATGTAGCAAGATACTGGAGTCAGTCAAACAGGCAGCTGGAGGTGAGTTGGTGCTAACTCTGCTTTGGAGGAGACGAGTGGGACTTGCAGCAGTCACAGTTAAAAATGAACCCTGCCCATCTCTGACTCCCCCGAGGCTTTTGCTGATGCAGTAGGCAGCAGGGCGCAGTGGCTGCCTGGAGGTGAGGTGCATGTCTGCTCCTGGCTCCAGTCATCTCCCTGAGAGAAGCAGCAAGATGGCCCTCCCTGAGGGAGAGGCTCCCCAGCTTAGTGAGCTGCTTATCAGCCTCTACCTTGAGGCACTTGATCCCTTTTTTACCTGCAGAGAGAAATAATCCTGCTGGGAAAAGAAGGGCTGTGTTAAGCCACATGCCAATACTGATGGGCCAATCAGATGGTCTAGGGAAATGGTCCCAGCCCCTGCCTGTCTTAGGAGGCCAAAAAGAGCATTTCGTGGGCTTCAGGGCTTGGCCCATTGCCTTCCACACCTTTGGCCCATTTGTGGAGCCGGCTGTAGAGAGGGAAGCCCTTGTCCTCCCTGTAGATGTAGACTCCGGTGATGGCGTTCCACTGGGGGCTTGGCTGGGCGCTCTCCACGGGGAACTCCTGCACCATCTCCTTCTCCTCCTTGTCCAGTGCCACGAAGCCGAAGAATTGCTTCACGTTCGTGGCCGCCAGCACCCTAGAGTGGACCTCGGCCGTGCGACGGAAGAGCTTGTCCTCGTTGGCGCGGTACTGGTCCCAGTAGGCTTCCTGGCGGTAGCTCAGCGGGGAGCAGCAGTGCTTCAGGCACTTGGTGAGGAAAATCAGGACCGCGACTATCCCAATGAGCAGCCAGCCGAAGAGCTGAGAAAGAAGGGCTGTGTTACAACACGATGACATGGCCTTCCCTTTGCCCACACCTTCCCATCTTGGGGACCCCATGGGCTTTATGTCTGCCAGTGGTGGGAATTAATAGCTTCGTTGGAGGGAGGAGTGTGATCGGGCACTGGGGCTGCCCAGGAATAGCAAGACTGTGGGGCGAACCCTAGGCATCCTTCCCCATCCATCCCCCCTGCTGGGGGGCACATTGATTAAGGTTGAAAGGGACCTTTGGATATCATCTGGTCATGGAAGGCCACATCTTTTGGGCAGCAAGAGCCTCCTACATGCTATTGGTTTCTGTTCTTTCAACCCTGGCTGCAAATCCACTCCCTTGAGCCCAGAAGGGGGACTTCAGTGGCCACCAACAAGCCTCTGCTGGTGATCAGCTCTGCCTACAGCCTTTGCCCTGGTGTACCTACCTGGGACTCGTATTTCAGCCTCCTGGTCACTTCGTCCCTAAACTTGGTCAGGTTTGCTGGGACGTCTCTACAGGGGAACCTGGCCAGCGCCTCGGCCCCATACTCGGCTGGAAACTTATCCAGGCTGGCGGGCTGGACGAACTCGCTGAGGGCGCAGATATAGGCCTCCCCGCGGAGCAGCGAGAAGACCGACCAGGTGACAGGTGCCACAGCAGCTCGGCCCATGATGGAGCCAAAGAGGAGGAATGTGGCCGCAGCAGAGAAGTTTTTGGTGCCCCGCTTGTGGCACTCGGCCACCAGGTTCCAGGTATGGTTGTTCCAGACGACGCCAATGAGGAAGAGCGCTAGGGCTGGGACACCGATGGCGGCCAGGCCGTAGATGTAATTGCGAGCTGGGGAGCAGGGGCAGTGGAAGGCCATAACTGAGAAAAGCTCTTCACTGCCCACGGTGCCCAGAGCCACCAGGCCATTAAAAATCATCACATCTTTGCTCTTGAAGAACAGGGAGAGGAAGCGGAAGTTTTCAGCAATGAAAGCAGCCATCTCGTCCCTGCACCAGGGACAAGAAGAGGTGCGTGGTGTGGTCAGGGGCTGTGCTGGCCCAAAGCGTAGCACCTAGGGTAACACTGCCGGGGATGAAATGCCCTCAGGTCTGCTAATGTCCATGGAGCTGCTTTTGGAGTGCACCACCTCTTCTGCCACCTCCTACTGCCTTGCGTACCAGGTGCCCCCTTGGAGGACGGACTGCCAATGCCTGGAATATTTAAAAAGAGACCAAAGAGGGATCAGGCCTAAGTGACAAGGAAAAGCTCCATGTTTTCAGTTTCCCACTGACCTCTGCAGAGAAGTATCTGCACCAAAACCTGCCTATAGGACAGTTGAAGTTGTTTTTGTCCCTGTTATTCACATGCTCCTCTTTCCTCCCCTGACTTTAAGTCACCTGCTACATAGGCAATTAGCATGAGCATTGCCATCTTCCAAGTGTGCAACAAAGGAGGATGCAGTGTTACGGAGCAACTGGACCAGAACATTTGGGTTTGAGATGTGTCCCCAACTCTGCTGTTGATTCGCTCTCTGCTCTTAACACTTGCTCACTTGTGACCAGCTGGAGGGAGGCAAAGCCTACAGCACCCACTTTAAGACCTGATGGATTAATATTTAACAGGCACAGGTATGTTACTGTGGGACCACAAGCAAGAGGTGGATCTGCTGCTTAGCTTGAGTTTGCCCAGAAGGTTTGAGTGCAGGAACGTTTCCCAGATGGTGTGACGCGGTTTGTGTGTCCAAGCCCTACTCACTTGAGTGTGAGGCTCGTGTAGCTTGGCCACATCCCCAGAGCATCGAGTGATGAGAAACTGAGGCCTGGCTGGCTGAGGGGGTCACCCTAGCCAGGGGATGGGGCAGAGTGGACCATGTGTGTCTTCCCTGTCTTGCAGCCTGCCACCATGGGTCACCAGGGAGCCTGGGCTTGGGCTGCCTCCCATCCCTATTGACAGCCTATGCCCAAGATGCAGCAGAAGGCAAGATGGTGATCACAGAGCTGTTGATATCAACAAGAGAAGTTATTTACTGGAACAAATGAAACTGTTATGATATGAACACTAAAAATGATGATTTTGTCAGCAGAGCTGGGCCAGCAATTACAAAAGAGTTGTTTCTACGTGTGGGTGAGATAGGGGCATCTTTTTCTCTCCTTCATTTGACTGACGTAGCTGAACTTGACAGCCTAGCCCAGCCTCTTCTGCCCTGGCTGTATTTGAGACCTGCAATAATCCGTGCACTGCTGTGTGACCAGGCAGCTGCCTTGGGACAGCGCTGGGTATGTGGAGACACCCTCACCTGGCAGGGTTGATCTGGCTTGCAAGCTGTACTTAAATGATCCCTGCCTTTTGCATTGCCTCAGCGCTGCAGCACAGGGGCGTTTTGCCTCAGGAAGCCCCACACTCCTTGCAGGTTCTGGGAACCCTCACTCATGTGATGAAACCCACTGGCCTCAGGGGAGCTGCCGTTTCCTTGGCAGGGGATGGGCACCTGACTAACTGTCTCTGGCAGCTTTCTCAGGACTGGCAGCGTTGGCGGCACATCTATTGCAGGGTTTAAGATGATACTGATGTGTCTCCATCCCTTCTGCTGCCTCGTGCCAACAGGGAGGAGGGCTGAGTGACTGGGCCAGACCATTGCCAAAACCCCTGGCATTCTCCGTCCAACCACAGCCAAAGCCATCCTCTCTCAAGCTGCCTCTATCTTTCCCCCGGCATGCAGCAAAGGAAGGTTTTTTCCATGCCAATTGTGGCGCCAGGGAAAAGCTGGTGGGCCTATCTGTGTTCATGCTAACACGACAAGGGCATTCCAGTGCTTATTATGGTGCCTTAAAAGGCCTGCTGTTGCCTTGCCATGGGGTAAGCAGCTCTTAGGAAAGGGGCCTGGCCTTCTTGCTGTAAGTAGCTGTTGGGGTTTGGTTCTTCTTCTGCCCCTGTTTTACTTTGCTGCTCTATGGGAGAGCCAGGGGCAGAGACTGTTCCTGCATTTCCACCTTGTGGTCCTTGCTGGGAGTGAGTCACAAGCCTAAGTTTAAACGCAAGCAGGCAGGGCCCATATTGTCTCCCTGCATCTTCCCGGTTTTCCATATGCAAAAACTCACTCAGCAAAGGAGACAGACCAGCCTCAAACTGGAGCTGCCTGACGGCGAGTCAGGCCCAGAGCCCAAGCTGCTGCCGCTCGCAACAGACGCTCAAAACTGCAACCTTGCTCCAGCGCCTGCGGTTCAAAACCCTGTTATTAGGGGGAGCCACGGAAGTTACTGATAAAATGCAGCCCTGCAACCTTCCTCCCAGAGCCTGGCTGCAGATAAAGCAAAAATCAGAGAGGGCCATTTTGGGGAGTTTTCCTCCATTTATGTGGCCAGTTCAGGGAGAAGGGAAGAGGCGGGGAAACACTGTTTGCAACAGTTAACGTTTTAGCAGCCAGTGTAAAACCTAAAAGCACGGAAAAATGAAGCCACTCACCTGAAAAGTTGCTCTAAACCAATTTTGGAGCCTTCTCTGCATTTTGTGTGGTTTCCGACAGAGGTTTCGGGGGCGGCGGGCCCAGGGACAGGGATCCTGCAGAGCCCCAGCTCCTGGGCGACGTCGAAAGCCGATGAAAGCAGCGGCAGAGCTGGGCAGCTTCCTCCTTTGGGCTTGTAAAGCTGGCAACTTTCGCTGAGGGAGGAGATTGCCCTGGGCCTTGCTGGGGTAGAGCGGGAAGCAGCACCCTGCTTCTGCTGGGTGTGCGGCTGCACTTTTAACACACCGAAAAATGAAAAGGGGGGGAAAAAACAAAAGGAACTGAGAGCCAGTGGAAAAATCGCAGAAGTTCCTCAAATTTGCCTTGCGCCGGTGCAAAGGCGGGCAGAGGGGGTCAGTGCGGCCTTGCAGATGCAGCTCCCGTCGTGCTGGGCTGCAACGCCCAGGCAGGAGGCAGCGCTGGAGAACCCGCCATCCCGCTCCTGTGCGAGAGCCGGCGCCCCGCAGGGAGAGATGGGGGCCCGGGGGACCGCTGGAGTCAGTAGGAACGAGTTTCACGGGGTTTCCCTGCGCCCGGCTGGAGCAGTGGGGCGGCAGAGCCCCGCTGGGGTGCAGTGAGGATTTTGGCAAAAGAAGCGCGTTCCTGCCTGATGCGGCTTTTCCGTTTCCCCTGCAGACGGATGTGGCGGCAGCGGGGGCCTCCCTCTCTGGCTGCCTCTCTCCTCC